GGAAATTCTTAGAAAATTTCCACCAGGCAATTCCAGCTTTAGAGGAAATCAATGCTACCACTTCCTGAGTGTTTTTCTTGAGCATTTCTGTGATTATACAAGCAAATATGTATATATGTTATGTACTTTCCATCCCCTGTTTTTACACACTGTTCTACACTTTGCTTCTTCTGATTACCAATAATATATTTTGGTAATATCTCATTTAATAATAAAACTGTTTCCTTGTTCTTTATTACAGCATGGTATTTGATTGCATGAGTCCAAATCAGCCCTTTTTAGATGGAAATCTAGGTTGTTTCCACTCTTTTCTTATTGTAAGAGTACTGCAATAAATATCAGCATATGGTTATCAATTTATTCATTTAAAAGTACATCTGCTTGCGGGCACCTGAGTAGTTCAGTTGGTTGAGTGTCTGACTCTTGGTTTTGGCTCAGGCCATGATCTCAGGGTTCTGGGATGGAGCCCTACCTGGGTCTCCGTGCTCAGCAGCAAGTCTGCTGGAGGATTACTCTCTCCTCCCTCTGCTCCTCTTCCTGCTTGCATGCACACACATGTACTCTCTCTCTCTCACGTGCTCTCTTGCTCTCTCAAATAAAACAATCTTTAAGAAAATAAAATAGGGGGTGCCTGGGTGGCTCAGTCGTTAAGCGTCTGCCTTCGGCTCAGGTCATGATCCCAGGGTCCTGGGATCGAGCCCCACATCGGGCTCCTTGCTCAGTGGGAAGCCTGCTTCTCTCTCTCCCACTCCCCCTGCTTGTGTTCCTGCTCTCGCTATCTCTCTCTGTGAAATAAATATTTTAAAAATAAATAAATAAATAAATAAATAAAATAGAAGTACATCTGCTTGATAAATTCCAGCTGGAGGAATTGCTGGTCAAAAGTATGTATGTGCATTTGTAATTTTGATAGATATTGCCAAACAGTTTTATATGGTGGTTGTACCAATTTACACTCCCTCAAGCAATGTATGAGAGTACCTGTCTCCACCATACTCTCACCACCCAATATATCATTACATTTTTTGGTCTTTGCCAATCAGATAGGGAGGAAACGCCTTACTTACGGTTTATGTGGATTTTCTTATTAATCCCTAAAGCAGTAAGTAATAGTATCATATTATTTTATATATAAGGAAATTGAGGCTTACAGAAATAAGGTTACTTGTTCAAATTACTTAGATAAAAGGTGGAAGAATCAAGATTAAACTCACCCTGTCTGTCTGGGGCACCTGGGTGGCTCAGTCAGTTAAGTGTCTGCCTTCACGGGGATCCAGTCCCACGTCAGGCTCCCTGCTCAGCGGGGAGCCTGCTTCTCCCTCTGCCTGCCGCTCCCCCTGCTTGTGCTCTCTCTGTGTCAAATGAATGAATAAAATCTTTAAAAAATTAAAATAAAAATAAACTTATCCTGTCTGCATTGTCAACAAAACCCCTATTATGTCATACAGTATTTCCATTAAGGAACATAGCCAAATAACCTTGAAACTTAAATTATATTTCTCATAATTATTATTATTTTTTTAAAGATTTTATTTATTTATTTATTTGAGAGAGAGAGAATGAGAGAGAGCAAGCACATGAGAGGGGGGAGGGTCAGAAGGAGAAGCAGGCTCCCTGCCGAGCAGGGAGCCCGATGCGGGGCTCGATCCCAGGACTCCAGGATCATGACCTGAGCCGAAGGCAGTCGCTTAACCAACTGAGCCACCCAGGCGCCCATCTCATAATTATTTTTTATGAGTCAGCACTTAATTCAAAAGCTATAGCAGTATTTTGCAGGATCTTAGTATCAGCATTATCAGTATAATTATCACTGAACAATACATATGTGTCCTAGTTTTAAAAACATCCTAATAGGTAGGTGCCAGGTGAACTGGCTTTAATGGTCTCATACGACATCATCAATTCTGAAAAATTTCATTCCATCCCCCCAAATTTTGACCCTCATAATCTACACCTGGTGACCTGGTTTCACAGCTAGTTGAACAAAGATGAATTTATACTAATTAGAATAAAACCTCATTAAGCCCAGAATGCTGATGTTACAACATGCTTGATGTATAAAAGGTAACATGAGGATTACAGTAGCAGCGCCCTCCTCCGCAGTTCAAAGTGATTTGCAAATATTAAGTTCTGGTTTTCTTCAAATATTGAACAACCAAAAACCATGTGACTCTTTTCCGGCCACCTTTTGGCATTATTGGAAAGAATGTGGGTGGGGTGGAGCAACTAAGTATATGAGAATCATGTGCTCACAACATTTCAAGCTACAATTTGAAGACATAATGTATTCATTTACTGGGTGTGGGCTTTCAGCATTTTACAGGTTTGACCTGTTTGCAGCTCTCAGTGGCAAGTCTGAGGTCTCTGCCTGCCAGCAGAGGTTTCACAAAGAGAAAACAGTGTTACATCAACCTAAGTTCACGGCCATTAAAGTCTGCCTAAGAATCTCCTGAGTGGCATTTCATGTCAATGAAGAAAACAGAGCATTCAATAAATCAGAGCAATTGTTAGGACAAACGGTTGGCCATTTGGAAAAACAATAAAATTGGAACCGTATCTCACATCCTGTAACAAAATGAATTCCAGATGGATAAAAGATTTAAATGTTAAAAAAAAAAGGATGATAAAAAAATTATCTCAGGTGGGAGATATGGTATGGCCTTTCATGGTATGACACTATACTCAGAATCCATAAAAGAAAATATCAATGAATTAGACTTCCAATTTTTAAAAATTCTGCATGGAAGAACGCACCATAAATAAAGTCAAAAACAAATGACAAACTGGGAAAATTTTATTCTAACTCATATGACAGACTAGGTGTTCATTTCCACAGCATACAAAGAGCTTCTACAAATAAATAAGAGAAAGACCAACATCCTTAGAAAAGTGGACAAAGGATATGAACTTCCAGTTTTCAGAAATGGAAAAACAAATTGCTCTTAAATTGATATTTAAACTCCCTCATAAGAGAAGAAATGAAAATTAAAACTTCACTGTGATTGTCAAAAATTCAAAAGTTGCTAATGGCCTCAGTTGGCCAGGTTATGGGGAAAACTTGTATACTCATACATAATTGGTGAAAGTAATTTGGTAATATTTTAATATTTATCAAAACACAAATGCTTATGCTCTTTGACTCCTCAATTTTAGAGAAATGTAATTTTAGAGAGGGTGGTCAGGAAAGGACCCATTTAAAAGGTAAAATCTTTTACCTTTTGAAGGAGTGAGCCAAGCTGAAAATGTGGGAGGAACACACCAAGCAAAACATCAAATGCTAGGGTGAGTTGAGAGGAGGTATGTGACAGAAACAGTTAAGAGGGCCAGCATGGCCTGAGTAGGGGGTAGAATATTGGGAGAATATTGGGAGAAATGTCAGAGAAGTATTAGAATAAGATTATGTAGGGTCTTATAGGTCATTTTAAGGACTTCAACTTTTACTGTAAGGAAACAGGGAAATCACTGGAATATTTTGAGCAGAGGAGTGACCTGATGTAACCTACATTTTTAAAAAGATCATTCTCGCTGTTGTGATAAGAACAAAGGAGTAGGTCAGAGATCAGTTAGGAGGCTATGATAAGAGACAAGAGATAACAATGGACTGAATCGGGTGCCTGGTGGCTCAGTTGGTTAAGCGACTGCCTTCGGCTCAGGTCATGATCCTGGAGTCCCGCATCGGGCTCCCTGCTCGGCAGGGAGTCTGCTTCTCCCTCTGACCCTCCCCCCTCTCATGTGCTCTCTCTCATTCTCTCTCTCTCAAATAAATAAATAAAATCTTAAAAAAAAAAGATAATTGTTCTAATATTTTTTAAGTATTATGGTAGTTTTTGTACCTTTAATGTGTATCAGACTTGAAAGCTAGATTTTCATCTCTGTGGTTATTTATAAAATAAGAAGGAAAACACTAAAAATAAGTCATGCAAAATGAACTGTCAAATTTTGATTAAATGGGGGCGCCTGGGTGGCTCAGTCGGTTAAGCATCTGCCTTCGGCTCAGGTCATGATCCCAGGGTCCTGGGATCGAGCCCCACATCGGGCTACCTGCTCAGCAGGATGCCTGCTTCTCCCTCTCCCGCTCCCCCTGCTTGTGTTCCCTCTCTCGCTGTGTCTCTGTCAAATAAATAAATAAAATCTTAAAAAAATAATAAATAAAATTCTTTGTTGGTGTGTTTCTGTTGCAGGATTGCAGGGTTCTAGTCTCACACAGTCGGAGAATGAATCTCATGGACACAAAAGGCTGAAATGAAGTGAAAGTTTTTAAAGCGAAGATGAGGACAGAAAGGAAAGAGAAAGCTCTCTAGAGTGAGAGGGGTCCCGAATGGGTTGCCCCTGAAGGTTTTTAGGCCGGTCTTTTATTGAAAACTTGACCAGGGAACTTGTGGCCTTGAGATTCTTGTGCCATCTTGGTTTGAGCAAGGACTATTGATGACCCCCTTAATGACTGACTTCTTTGAGGTCTGGTCATTTTCTGTGATTGCACTGTAGCCGCCAAAGAAAAATACTCCCTAACCGGGGCCAGGTGGTCTGGTCTAGTCCCTTATCTCTTGTTCAGTCTGGCTTAGTGGTTTTGTCTGCCAGGAAGTGTTTCAGAGCCTAGTCAGGGGCCCCCTACCTCTCCCTGCCTAGACCTTAACCTTTTCCTTACTCATTTATGATGAGGGAACAGAAGGTAAGCTGAGGGGGCACCTGGGTGGCTCAGTAGGTTAAGCGACTGCCTTCGGCTCAGGTCATGATCCTGGAGTCCCTGGATCGAGTCCTGCATCGAGTCCTGCATCGAGTCCCACATCGGGCTCCCGGCTCGGCGGGGAGTCTGCTTCTCCCTCTGACCCTCCCCCCTCTCATGCTCTATCTCTCTCTCTCTCAAATAAATAAAATAAAATCTTTTTTTTTTTTAAGATTTTATTTATTTGAGAGAGAGAGAATGAGAGAGAGCACATGAGAGGGGAGAGGGTCAGAGGGAGAAGCAGACTCCCCGCTGAGCAGGGAGCCCGATGCGGGACTCGATCCAGGGACTCCAGGATCATGACCTGAGCCGAAGGCAGTCGCCTAACCGACTGAGCCACCCAGGCGCCCTAAAATCAAATCTTTAAAGAAAAAACAAAAACAAAAACAATGGACTGAATCAAGATGACAACAGTGCAGGTGGGGATAAATGACCAGACGGTGGGATTTGCTGACAGATTCTATTTGGGGTGGAGAGAAAGAAAGTGTCCAAAATGATTCTAAGATTTTTGACCTGAACAACTGGAAAGATGGAGCTCCTATCAAGTGGGATGGAGAAGTCTAAGAGAGGAGCAGATTTGGAGGAAGGTCAGGTGTCAAATTATGGACATAATCAAATTGAGGTGCTTATTAGACACTCAAATGATTATGTCAAATCTACAGTCGGCTACATGAATTTGGATTTCTTGGAAGAGATCCAGGCTAAAGCTATAAATTAGAAAGTCAGCATGTATAAAATGGTACTTAAAGCCTGAGAACTGGATGAGATCACCAATGGATTTTGTGCAGATAGAGAAGAGAACCAAAAAATAATCCTATAGCACTCTAACGTTTAGAGGTAGCAATGGTAAACAGGAACCAGCAAAAGAAACTGAAAAGGAGCAACAAGTAAGTCAAAGTAATACCATGACAGTGTGGTGTCCAATAAGCCAAATAAAGGAAATGCACCAAGGAGGATGAAGTGATCCATTCAAATACTGCCAATGGATCAAGGAAGAAGAGGGTTGAGAATGGGCCATTAGATTTAGCAATATGGGTCATCAATGAACTTGACAACACACACACAGTAGTAGGAGGGTGCATGTGTGACTGGAATGGATTGAAGAAAGCAGAGAATCAAGCCTCAAGATATGACTACTAGTTTCCAGGAAATACAGGAGAGAAGAACATGCTAGATGACATCATGAGGATGCAAATAGCCAACTCCAGAATGTGGAAACTTATACAGGAAAAATGACCTTAAGGGCGCCTGGGTGGCTCAGTCGGTTAAGTGTCTGCCTTCAGCTCAGGTCATGATCCCAGGGTTCTGGGATAGAGTCCCATGTCAGGCTCCCTGCTCCACCAGGAGCCTGCTTCTCCTTCTGCCTCTCTCTCTCTCATGAATAAATAAATAAAATCTTTTAAAAAATGACCTTAAAAAAAAAAAATATATATATATACACACACACACACAAATACATTCACATGGCATGAGAAAAGGGTGGAGGGGAAACTGTTACAGATGAAGAAAGACTTAAAGGACATACCAGCCAAACACAGTGTGTTTAGAGCCTGATTTGAGCAAATCTATTATAAAAAGATGTTTCTGAGACAATATAGGAAATTTAAACTCTGACCATGTATTTAGATTTGTTGGATATTAAGTTGGTGTTGTGACTGTCATTTTTTACAGTCCTTATCTGTTAGAAATGTATGCTGGAGTATTTACAGTGAAATGATGTCTGGAACTTTCTTTAAAATAGCCCAAAAGAGAAGGTGAATCAGTGAATCACTATGTTGTACACCTGAAACTAATGTAACATTATATGTCAATAATACTCAAATTTAAAAAAAGAAGAAAAAACAGTCCAGATGATTTATGGAAGGAGGATGGGTTAAATAAAATTGACAAAATGTTTATAATTGCTGACACTGGGTGATGATATATGGAGGTCATTCTGCTGTCTCTCTACCCTTGCATATGTTTGAAATTTTTCAAAATAATTTTTTTAAAAAAGAAAATAAGATGAAAGTTAAATTCAAGAAATACAGGTATCTCTTTCGGGCTTTTTTGCTTTAAACAGGAACAGAAAGATGAAGTGATAGCAGGAAGAGAAGGAAGCTTGAATTTCAAGGTGGGGGGTGCCTGGGTGGCTCAGATGGTTAAGCATCTGCCTTTGGCTCAGGTCATGATCCCAGGGTCCTGGGATCGAGTCCCACATCGGGCTCTCTGCTCCATGGGGAGCCTGCTTCTCCCTCCGCCTGCCACTCCCCCTGCTTGTTTGCTCTCTCTCTCTGACAAATTTCAATTTTAAGCAGAAATGACCATTCCAGGCCATTGAGTCTCAGCTTCAAATGATCATTTAGGGACTGAGGGGCCTTCTACCTTATTTCTCTTTCATGACCTAGGGCTTTTATTCTCATCTAAATCCTAGAAATTGGGTAGCAGGCACATCTTTTACCAGTTATCAGGAGGGGGAAAGAGAGTGTAAGGAGCAAGCATTGTCCTAGTTTTAAGGGCCTAGCCTGCAGGCACCACACATTACTTAGGGTCATATTCTATTATAAAAATTTTAGTCCTATGGCTACAGTCAAATGCAAGGAAGCCTGAGAAATGTGGTGTGTATGGTCAGCTCTCTGCTGAGCTACAATGCTCTGATTTTGGAAGAAAGGAGGATAGATTTTAGCAAATAATTAGAACTCCCTGCAAGGGAGTGATTCTAGTAACTGACCAAGGGATTTAATGCTAGGTAACGAGGCTATGAAAGGATCTGAGGAGGAGGAGGCATAACCCATAACTGAAAGGTGATAGAGTCAAGGGACTATAGGTCTTGGCAGAACAAGAGGGCTGCTGGAGTCGGGGCTCTGGCATGCATAGTGGTGGTACTAGAGGGATGCCTGACACTGAGAATATGAAGGAGTTACTGTTACAGATAATGCCAAGGTCTACAGATTTCATAGTGAGTGACTGATAAAGGGTGAAAGGCAAAATTACAGGAAGAAGAGGTCAAGGAACTAAGGCCAGGATTTCTGAAAGCTGACCAAATGGATATTGAAATTACCTAGAATTATGTTAGGACCAATGGAGAAAGTGACCATGAATCAGCTGCTAAACTCTCTGAGAAATAAGAGCAAGTGACAATAAGGGACAGTAGGGGGTATATCTGATGACATGCAATTCAAAGCAGGGGATTTGGGGGAGGAGGAGTTTGAAAATGGCAATGAGGAGCAAGGAGCACCCTCACTCTGTGGTCAGGTAGGATGCAGTAGAGATGGTAGAGATAAAGGCCACCACTACAGAGGGCTACAGGGGAAGGAGTCATCTGGGGAGCTTTAGATTTCAGCTGGAGCAGGATAGTAAAGGGGACCTTTGCAGGAGAGGTTTAGAGTATGTAGGAAATTTGCTGCTCACAGACTGGGCATTACAGTGAGCACAGGGGATGCATTCTGAGAGTAGGGGAGGGTAGAAGAAGGGAGGAGAATGAGATTAAGAGCTATATGGGGATTGGAGTAAAGGAGGTGCAGGGTGACCTGGGAGTCTACCGGCTTCTTGCAGTGATGATGTAAACAGGGATAAAGGGATAATGTGATTAATCCTGATGGTTTCAGGGTAGATAATGCTAGCAAGGCTGTGCCTGTTGTTGGGTAGGGAGGACTGAGGCCTTTCTAGAAATTCTGAGACCACCTCTTTGCTCCTGCCACTGGGGGAAAAAGCTGGGGAAAGGAGTGGTGTGAATTCCTCCAAGACTAAGAAAAATAGCTGTTATGTTAAAGGACTTCTCTCTCTTGAGGAAGGGCAGGGCTCTCCTCAGGCTTCTGGATGAAAGCTTCTGATGTTTTCTGGTGGCTCCTCAGCTTCACTTTGGGACCACACAGCAACAGGGAAGCCTGCAGGAGAAGCAGCAACAAGATCAGTTCTTTCCCCACACTCCCCAGGCTCTGTTCATTAAGCTGTGGCAGGAGTCCTGGGTCAGGGAACTTTCTGTCAGGATGAGTTCCTGCTGCCTAAGAAGTTTTATTCGCTTTCAATTTCTAACTCCAGAACAGACAGGGTCTCTGCTGGTGCAACCTCTCTAGTGCCTCAAAAATGTATGCCTCACCCCCTCCCCCACCCCACCCCTGCCCCAAGTTTGCCTTTTTCTAGCCCATGGCCATGTCTCCTGACCTCCATGGCTCTGTCTACAAGGTAACAGGTAGGCAAAGGAGGATGGGAGCCATTTGCTGCGATGACATTCTTTCAGGCAACAGACTGAATGTGAGTGGTTGAAGTGACAGACACAATGTACAGAAGGGCTCCTCTCAAAAATCCCTTCTCCACCCCTAATACCACTTAGTCTTTGGGTTTAAAATGTTCCTTATTTAGGGGCGCCTGGGTGGCTCAGTCGGTTAAGCGTCTGCCTTCGGCTCAGGTCATGATCCCAGGGTCCTGGGATCGAGTCCTACATCAGGCTCCCTGCTCCGCAGGAGACCTGCTTCTCCCTCTCCCACTCCCCTTGCTTGTGTTCCCTCTCTCGCTGTGTCTCTGTCAAATAAATAAATAAAATCTTTAAAAAAAAAAAACAAATAAAATGTTCCTTATTTAAAAGACCAATTAAGTCTGTGATGTTTAGGCAGCAGTCATCCTTTAAAAAAAAAAAGTTTAAATTATCCTTGATATTCAATGTTTCAGAAAACCTCATAGGTAGAAAAACTTTAGCATTTTTCTCAAAGTCTGAGGAAATCAGAAGCATATATTTATCTCCTCTGGGTCTCTGAGTGAATCCATGGTAGGAGAATTTTATCTAATATCTAGGTCATTTTGTCTCTTTAAAAAAAATAATATATATAAATATATCGAATAGCTTGTCAAATCTGTCCTGTGGTATAACCAAGCCGTAATTTGTCATCCATTTTAAGGAATTATAATTCTTTTTTTTTTTCTAAAGATTTTATTTATTTATTTGACAGAGAGAGAGAGCGAGAGAGGGAATACAAGCAGGGGGAGTGGGAGAGGGAGAAGCAGGCATCCTGCTGAGCAGGGAGCCCGATGTGGGACTCGATCCTAGGACCCTGGGATCAGTGACCTGAGCTGAAGGCAGACGCTTAACGACTGAGCCACCCAGGCGCCCTAGGAATTATAATTCTTTTGAGGCCTTTCTTGGAATATCCCCCGATTCTTCCTGTTGCATTTCTAGTTTATGAATCAAGCCTTTCATTCATTTATTTATTCAGCAAGTATTTCTTTCCTTAGCAACCATTCTATCAAAGCTTTAACCACTTAGGAGGTTAGAAGGGCAATCCATTCCCAATCCTGTGCGAGTTTACAGTCTATTCGGAAGAGCAAGAGAAAAGGACAAGGAAAGAAAAGTAAGAGAGGGAGGACAAAGAAAGAAGGAATGCATTTAAAGAGGTCAAAGTATTTATGTTATCTTAAATTCAGAGAGAAATATGTGAAACCCATGAAAAGAAAACTATAAAACCTTACTGTGGGATGTGAAACAAGGCTTGCATAAATGGAGAGACTTGTTGAGGTCCTAGATGAGAAAACTCGGTATTGGAGCAATATCAAACATGCCCAAATTAATCTAAAATTCAGTGCACTTCAGTAAATATACTAACCCCAAATTTTAAAACTTGACAAGTTGATCACAAAAATCTTTGGGAACAGTTAATATGAGCCAAAATAATTTTAAGAGCGAGGGACTGGCCCTTGACAGATCAAAATATCCTCTAAATCACTAATAATTACAGAGTATGATAATTAACTAGAAAGAAAAAAACAAATAGAAGAGAATAAAAAGTCCATTAAAAAGAGTTGAGACTTAATGCTAACTTACAACAAAGGGTTTTCCACAAGCTGGACACCAGTCTAATTTATGATTTTTAAAATAAAACTTGGATGGAAAAAAACATAATGCTGTAACAAAACTCCTTGAATTCTCATCTCCTTATTCATGTAAATAAGGTTTCTCAGCATTTATAACTATAAAAACAAACAAAAAACATAAATTAATATTGAAACGGTCTCATTCTCATGGTGAGTAATCTTTATCCATAAGAGTGAATAAAATTGAATTAAGCTCCATCTGTCACTGAGAAATGCATTTATAACACAATTTAATTTTTTGTTTAAGAATTACAAATTTGTTGGGGCGCCTGGATGGCTCACTCGGTTGAGCATCTGACTGTGGCTCAGGTCATGGTTTCAGGGTCCTGGGATGGAGCCCTGAGTCAGGCTCAGCACTCAGTTGGGGTGGAGTCTGCTTCTCCCTCTGACCCTCCCCCCATTCGTGCTCTCTCTCTCTTAAATAAATCTTTAAAAAAAAGAATTACAAATTTGTTATATTGATAAATTTTGTACTACTAATAATTAAACTGATAGAGTATTTTACTATCTAGAGCTTTAATTAATCCAGGAAATAAATTAATATATTTTACAGAGTATAACAATCAAATAATCAAAGATTTTCAAATATAAATGTTGTTTAAATTTAAGATAAAATCACGTGGGGTGAGCCACCGAGTCTTGGTTTTGGCTCAGCTCCTGATCTCAGGGTCCTGGGACCAAGACCTACATGGGCTCTGAGTTCAGCAGGGAGTCTGCTCGAGATTCTCTCTCCTTCTGCCCCTACCCCCCTCACTCTCTCTCTCCCTAAAATAAATAAGTCTTTAAAAAAAAAAGATAAAATAACATGGAAGAATTGAAGTAGAAGTATTAGTTCAAGGATATCAAAGAGTGATGCAAAAATTTCTGGCTATTAAAGAAGAGGTGCCACTTTGTTAGGACACTTAGATCTCATATGATATATGTTCTTTACACTGATGTAATATGGTTTAACTTTTTTTTTCCCAAAAAATGAAATGTAGTGATATTTAGCTCTCACGCCTTGACTGGAAAACAACTGAGAAAGGTAGCTCAAAGAATAAGCATTTAATCCGGGGTGGGAGGAACAGGAAGTGCAGGCTTGTTAAGTAAGCATTTGGTAGGCAGAGGGTTGCATGAAGGTGTCTTCCTACTATGTCTTGAAAAAGAAGCAGCTCAGGGGACGCAAGTAAATTCAGAAGGGGCTGAGAGAAGGACCGAGCCGAAAAGGAACGACAGAAAGGAAAATTTCAAACCGTTACTTAGGCCATCATTTCAGAAAATGTGTTCCCTGAAACATGAAGTTTCAAGATGTCAGCTGCTAGTTGTTAGGTGAAAACGATGAAAAACAATTTTTTTTTCATAATGCTATTTTTCTTTTAAGATGCAACTTTAAAAAAAATCTACATATGAGAAGGTTCCATATATATTGATGTAATTGTTTATGTGATTGTTCTACATTAATATGCCTCAGAGGAGTATAGCCGATCCAATGTCAGATTGATGAGTTCAGCTCACAGCTCAGCTGTTCACTGACTGTATACAGCTACGTAACTTTGTGGATCAACTTTCTTTTTAAACTTGGAGGTTTTTTTTTAAGATTTTATTTATTTATTTGTCAGAGAAAGAGAGAGGTTGAGAGAGAGAGAGAGAGAGAGAGAGAGAGTACAAGCAGGGGGAGCTGCAGGCAGAGAAAGAGGGAGAAGCAGACTCCCCGCTGAGCAAGGAGCCCGATGTAGGGCTCAATCCCAGGACCCTGGGATCATAACCTGAGCCAAAGGCAGACACCCAACTGACTGTGCCACCCAGGCTTCGCATGTATCAATTTTCTTGTCTGTAAAAAAGGAATAATAATAACACTTCCCTCATAGCGCTGTTGTCAGAGTTAAATGAGATACTACAAGGAAAATGCTTAGAACAAGGTCTGGGACACAGTAAATGCTATGGATGACCTTGCTATTATTTTTTAAAAATGGTGTGCCACACCTAAGAATATCAGAGATGACTTGATATATGAAGAAGGGACATTTGATATGCAAATTGGTGCATAATCAGCTCAAATAACTAATAATGGTCATGCTGTATGTTATTGGTCATACAACAAATATTAACTTGTTAGCTACTGGTTTGTGATGGTTTTTGTGATTTACCTTTTAAATACTTTATACCTTTTATAGTCACTAAAATGAGAAGATTTCTCTACCTTATTGTACAAAGTTTAAAGAAAAACATAAAATTTAATTCCTTCTAGCAATTAATCTGAAGTCACATTTTGCTGTCTGGTTTAATCCAAATCACATCTCATGAATTTTTGTAATGTTTTATAGAGAAAAATCCGTTTTTAAAAGGCTAAAAGCCTAAGTTCGAGGAAGGCTGGCTTTCACCATAAAATTACTAAACTTGTTAAAAATACAAGATTGTCAAAATACCTGCATTAAATTTTCTAGTTGGATGCTGGTGCCATTTATATGGCACTATTATAGCACTAAAGATAACACTGAATGACCATATATGGACATTTTTTTCTTCGGCTGAATAAATTTAACTATAGATTTGGTCAACACCACTGGTAGGTACTGATGGATTTGTATTAACTTTTTCAAGCTACTAGATTTATATTCAATTCACTGCAGTAGTAATGCACTGGTATTTACTTTGGTAATACACTAAGCAATTGTCTAAGAATTTTGCCAATGCTTTCAATACATATGCTTATGTAATGAGTTTTATAAAGTGTTTGATCCACTATAACAATAATTAGCTATGCTTTGACCTTAAATAATTAATGGAATCTCAATTATTCTGGGAAGGAAAGGAGAAGGCAGACATAGAAGAGCAATTTTTAAACTCTTTTGGGTTTGAGGAATCAAAGAGAATCTAAAAATTATGGACTCCTTCCAAAAAACTGCACATTCTTATGAAACTTTATATATAATTTCAGGGGATCTGGGTAAGATTTCTCAAAGGATCACGACTGAACAATCTGCATCCAAATTTCATGAGGTTCTAGTTAAAAGTTCAGATTCCTGAGTCCCACTGCAGACTTACTGGATTGGAATCATAGGATCAAGCCCAGAAATAAGACTTTTAACAATGTTCACAGGTGAGACTATTTAAAAATAAACTATTTTTTAAAGATTTATTTATTTGAGAAAGAGAGAGAGGAGGGGCAGAGGGAGAGGAAGAGAGAAACTTTAGTAGACTCTTCGCTTAGCTCCGAGCCTGATGCAGGACTTGATCTCAAGACCCTGAGATCATGACCTGAGCGGAAACCAAGAGTCGGACGCTTAACCAACTGTGCCACTCAGAGGCCCCTAAACTATTTTTTTAAAGACTTTATTTTTAAGTAATCACACCCAAAGTGGGGCTCAAACTCACAACCTCAAGATCAAGAGTCACATGCTCTACCAACTGACCCAGCTAGGCAACCCCCAAATAAACTACTTTTTGTCAAAGGAAAACACACACACACACACACACACACAAATGAACATTCGTGTGTATCATTTTAAAAGTCAAATAGTACTGCAAGGCTTATGATAAAAGCCAGTAGTCTCCTACCCCACCCTTCCCCAGGCCCACTCCCAGCATGACATGTTAACAGACTCAACTTTTCTAGCTAATTTCACAGATAATTTTCCTCCATATCTTTATATACTTATGTCACTGTTCCTTGATTTGCCTGTTGACTTCCTGCCATTGTGAATAAATACTAGAATATTGCTTCCCAACTCCATTTTTCTTCTTCTCACCCCAATATAATGATATACAATTTTTTTGTGTGAAATCAATGGTCAGCATTACATCATTGAAACTATATAAATATTGTCCACTGAGCCAAGTAATGCATTGCAATCACACCTCTTTTCCTGTATGAGCTTTCCATTTTTCTGAAGTTAATAATTGCCTCATTTTATCATTTGTTTGGTTTTCCATCTACCTATTGTTAATTTTTCCCCAATGTTCTGGCATCTCTGCCATATACTTATTAATAACATGTTCTTTTTGCCCAAAAACTTCTATTCCATTTTTCTGAGCTGCTCTGGAAGCCTCCTTCCCTCCGCCTCCTCTTTGGCCTGGCTGTTTTCGAGAAGCCCTGGGACATTCCTTCCTGCCACCTTACAACTTTTCCTGCTGCTTTTCTTTCTAGGATCTTCTCCTCTATCTTCCATTTTCATATTTTAATCCCCTATTCTGCTAAAGTACATATTCCAGCTTCCCAAGGAAGAATGGAGGTATAATGTTTGAGACCTTATATATATGAAAATTGTGTGTATTCTACGTTGAGTTACAGTTTAGTTTCATAAAGGATTCTAGGCTAAAAATAGTTTTTCCTCTGAATTTTTAAGGTAGTGCTTTATTGTCTTCTACCATCAAGAGTGGTTAGCAGCAATTCCAATGCTATTTTGAGTCATTCCATTTTTTGAGATCAGCTTTTTTTCCCTGAAAGGTTTTAGAATTCTTTTCCTTATCCAAGGTGTTCTGAAATGTAACGATGATATGCCTCGAAGTGGGTCTTCAAAAAAATTCGTTGTTCTGGGTGAGTCCTATCTGGGAAATTTTCTTCTATTATTTCTCTGATGATTTGTTCCCCTGTTTTCTCTGATGCTTTTTCTAAGATTTTATTTATTTGATGGGGTGGGGTGGAGAGAGGGAGAGAGAACACAAGCGGGGGGGTGGGAGAGGGAGAAGCAGGTTCCCCACTGAGCGGGGAGCCCAATGTGGGGCTCCATCCCAGGACCCTGGGATCATGACCTGAGCCAAAGGCAGATGGTTTACTGACTGAGCCACCCAGGTGCCCCTGATTTCTCTTTTTGAAACTCATATTAGTAAGTCACTGATGGATTCTATAATGTTCTCATCTTTCCTCTTCTGTTTTCCATCTTTCCCCACTTTATCCTCCAGTGTTTGTATTGAATATGTTATTTACACCACCACAGATTTTATTTTTATGAGCTCTTTCTTTATGTGTTTTCCTTTTTTGGTCACTTTTTGTTTTGTAAATATATATTTTTTTGTCTCTTTGATGATAATAATTAGTTTTTTTAAGTCCTTTTCTCCTTGCATTGTTTCTATTCCCTCCAGATCCCTTCCACTTTCGTGTGACTTTTCTTACCATGTTGGAGGTATTCATCGAATTTCTAGTGATTCTTAGGTTGCCATTCATATTTCAGGATGAGACTCTAAACACTTTATTAGAATTCCCTGTGTAGAGTATTGATTTGGGAAACTCAAAAGTCGATGCTCTAGTAATGAACTGGCTTTTTACTGGGCTCATCCAATTGTAAATGTCCAATTTTTTTTCCCTGTTCTCTGTCATCATTCTACTTCTCTGAGAACTGGGCATTCACTTAATGCCCCTTTTCTGATCCACTGACCAAAAGTTGTCTGGCTAGGCAGGGTGAGTATAGAAAGGAACCTGGGGGTCTAACTCTTTCATATGGAGACTTTAACCTATCCCTCCTATTTTCAGCCTGCACCTGACCTCCCCTTCATGGACCTGGCAGGTCCCAAACGCCGAGGCTTTACAGATCCTCTGAGGGGAACTGGCCCTCATCTTCATTCTTAGGTTTTGAATTCTTCCTCTCTGCTCAATTAATTACTACTCCTTCATCCACTTTCCATCTACCAAACACTTATCCTTGGCCAAACACTTATTAAAATCTGTAATCATTGTCTTGCCCTCCTCTTATCTTTGTTCTTTGTAAGCTAATGCCTTTTTTTATTCCTTTGCTGTCATTTTAGAGAGATTTGAAGAAGTGGGGGAGGGGCTAGAGGCCAAATACTTGTAGACAAATCATTGTTTTAAGGGAGAATTCTAAAGTATATCTTGGGCAACACACACTTGAGGGCCACTGGCTAGAACACAGTTGGAATACTGGATGACTGCTGACTAAATACAAGAACTGATGGATTTATACAGAATTAATGATTTAAGAAAAACAAACAATCATGTTTGTTGAATTATTGACCTGGGGGGATCATCAGATCCTGAAATAAAAATTCCTGTCAAACAAACAAATGAATAAGAAAGAAAAAAAAAAAGATAGGAAGAAAGAAAAGTCACAAACATGTTAACTGTAGCTATTTTTTAAAAAGATATCCTACATTTATTTTATTTTTTTTAAGTAATCTCTACTCAGAACGTGGGGCTCGAACTCATGACTCTGAGACTGAGCATCTCACGCTCCACGGACTAAGCCAGCCAGGCACCCCTAACTGTAGTATTTCTATCTATGGATACATTATTATATTCATCTTTGTACTTTTCTATATTTTCTAAATTTCATGCACCGTGGATCATTACTTCTGAGTGTGAATGGGTATATGGGAGAAACTTTCTGTACCTTTCCCAATACCTCAACTGTGGAGATGAAATGAAGTCCACAGATTAATTGAACAAGCTTTTACTGAGTGCCTAGACCAAAGTACCATACCTCAGAGGCAGTAATAAACAGGTAAATATTTTCTGAATCATGATCTGAAAAAGAAACTGTTTTTGAAAAGTTTAGAAGAAGGAAGGATCTTGTGGGCAATTTTTTAAACTGAAAAGCAATAGTATCTTATCGACATTTTTACATTTAATTTGTTTAAAAACAAAACAAAAAAAAAAACACGTATCTGGTGCCTCATCTCACAGATTCTATGCATAGAGATGGAGATCAAGAATCCATAGGCTAGGGATGCCTGAGTGGCTCAGCTGGTTAAGCATCTGCTTGCAGCTCAGGTCATGATCCCAAGGTCCTGGGACGGAACTCCGCATCTGGCTCCCTGCTCAGCGGGGAGCCTGCTTCTCTCTCTGCCTGCCTCACTCACTCTCTCTCTCTCCCCGACAAATAAATAAATAAAATCTTCAAAAAAAAAAAAGAATTTGTAGGCTAGACTAAGAATTCATAGTGATGGTGTGGTGGGTTCTTGAAAAACACTCAGGGAAAATACAGCTGCCTGCATTTTATGATGTATAAATGAATGCATATGTGGTCGATTCTCTTGGTTTTCTACCCAACAGTCACTTTCCCCACTCTGCACTTCTCTTTGTTAGAGCCTTGATTTTGTTCCAGTGACTTCACCCTTCCCACGTGTGATTTAGGAAACCTCTCCATTAGTCAAAGCTAATCATGGTAACGCCATTATTTCCCTTGCCAATGGTTAAAACCTGTAGAGCTTCTGAGACAGTAAGACACATGGGAATCGACCACCCCCGTCATCTATTGGATGCTGTTGCATCTGCACATAATCCCAGGAGCTTTGGTGACCATATTGCTAGCAGCCTGAAGAAGAATCAACACACAGAGGAAAGTAGAGCCAAAAGAAACCTAGAGAAGCAGAACCAGAACTCTGATGCAGCATGCTTGGACTATGACCTACCTTTGGATCTTTTGTTTTCTGAGAAAAAAACATCCCTTTATTGTTTATTCCAATTTGGGCTGGAGCTTCTGGTACTTGCAGCAAAAGGCATCCTCACTGATACAGTATGCTTTGTCTCAGGAAGGGGCTTTGGTGCAAGGGGCTGATGAGAGAAAAAGCAGTTGGTACTATTAAATGTTAGGCAAATTTGACAGATAAAATTTACACCTGGGGCAGGATTCTCTGCTGAACCAATTTGGTGATGCTCAGGCAAAAGGGCTTCAAGGTTAAACCAGGAAATTAGGAACGAAAGTGTGAGCCCCATAAATGATCAGTTTCCTAATGGGGACTTAGAATTGGCTGGCAGTGATCTCTTTTTCCAATCAAAGCAAATAAGTGGAAAAAGTTCAGGAAGTTTTCCTCATCTAGTGATTATTACAGAGAATTCTTTTGTGAGGGTCTAGAGCTTACATGCAGTAGGGACTGTGAACTTCATTCACTCATTGGTTCATTCATTCATTCAGTCAACAAATGTACTTTTGAGAAGATACAATGTGCCAGGCATATTAGTCAACAAGATAGACATAGTCCCCTGAACTAAAGAAATATATTTGTCTAGTGGGAAACAAAGGTGTTATATATTTATTTATTGGTTAATTATAAATTTTGATAAATACTTTATTTACTTATTTTTAAGATTTTATTCATTCATTTGAGAGCGAGAGAGAGAGACAGCACAAGCAGGGGGGAGCGGCAGGCACAGGGAGCGGCAGGCAGAGGGAGAGAGAGAAGCAGACTCCCCGCTGAGCAGACAGCCCGATGTGGGGCTCCATCCCAGGACCCCAGGATCTTGACCTGAGTCGAAGGCAGAGGCTTAACTGACTGAGCCACCCAGGTACCCCTGATAAGTGCTTTAAAGGAACAGAAAAGGGTGCTATGACAAACACTGGAGGGAAAAAGGGTCCTTAATTAAGAATGGAGACTGAGAGTCAGATAGTCAATGGGAGTAAGTGACAATAAATTGAGAACTGAAAGATAAATAATTATTCACAGGGAGTTGTGAGCTGGGGGTGGGGCATTACTGGCAGAGGCCTGGGAGAAGAAATGAAAATACACCAGTGCAGCTGGAGGATAGTGAGGCAGGGGGGATGTAAGATAAGTTTGGAGAGGGAGGGAAGGACCTAACTATATGGAAGGTTATGTGAAGAATTTTGGCTTTTACTAAGTGCAATGGGAAGCCACTAAAAAGTTCTAATCAAGGGCGCCTGGGCGGCTCAGTCGTTAAGCGTCTGCCTTCGGCTCAGGTCATGATCCCAGGGTCCTGGGATCAAGCCCCGCATCGGGCTCCCTGCTCCGCGGGAAGCCTGCTTCTCTCTCTCTCCCCCTCCCCCTGCTTGTGTTCCCTCTCTCGCTGTGTCTCTCTCTGTCAAATAAATAAATAAAATCTTTAAAAAAAAATAAAAAATAAAAATAAATAAAATAAAAAGTTCTAATCAAAAAAGTGACAAGAAACAATTTATATTTTTAAATTATCCCTATGGCAGCTGCATGCAGAATAGATTTGAGATAGGGCAAGAAAGTAACCAATTACAACTATTGCAGGCAGGAGGTAATGCTGACTTGGACTAGGGGGGTGGCAATGGACAGGGAGAAAAATGGATGTGAGAAATATTTTGGATGAGGAGAGAAAGCAAAAGGTTAAGGATGCTTCCTAGGTTTCTGTTGTAAACAAATGTGTAAAGGCAGGCGTTATAAATGTGTAAAGAGGAAAAAGGCAAGAGAAGCAGGCTTTGGAACAAGAAACGATTGAGAGTTCAATGTGAGATAACTGTCAGTTATCCAATTGGACACATCAAGTAGATAGCCAGTTATAAAGATCTAGAATGGAGGGTAGGATCGGAGGTAAAAGGTCAGGTATCATCAATATATAGATGGCATTTAAAGTCACAGGAATGGATGAGTTTATCTAGGGAGAGGGAGAGTACGAATGAGAGGAGGAGAAGAAAAGCCCTGAGGAATTCCATATTTTAAAGGATGGGGAGAGGAGGACCCTCCAGAAGAGGCTGAGGGAGTAGCTGGTCAGGTTGTTTAAAACTAGAAGAGGTCTATAGTACTAAAAATGAGGGTTTCAAAAAGGAGGAAGTGGTCAATTATATTGACTGCAAAGAAGACAGGAAAATGTCCCTTGATTTTGGCACCATAGAGGTCACTGATTGCTCGATGAGATTATCAAGTGCATTGAGTTCTGCTGCAAATATCAGAGAATCAGTTTACTGTGGATTAACCCTTGCACCATCAGAGTCCATTGGATCCAATTTTAGAGTTTGAGTATCTTTTGAGAGGTTCTAACTATTTATAAGGATGGATATTTCATGAGTTTTCTTAAACTGTTTTTTCCAAAAAACAAAAAGTAAATGTACTTAAAAAATGTAATAACTCATTCTGTTTTGCAATTACCATATGGGTACATTGAAGTCTTTCATAATTTATGGGATCTTAGTGATCTTAATTTTCTTTAGCTTTAACCATTTTGCTATATTATCATTCTAGGAATTATTTCAACATTACTCAACAACTATTCCCAACTACGTTAGAGAAGACAAAATAATAAGAAAACAATTTGGAATTGCCTAGAAGGTTGATTCAATAGTAAAATAAATCATCACCATTACATCATTCTTCTATTATCTTATTGTATTGTCCAAAGCACTACATCATCTTTTAAGAAGGTATAAAAAAAATCCAGAGACATTATCGTCATAGTTTTTTATTATACCTTTTATTAATCACTGATGAAAATTCAGAAATTTCATGTTTTGTTCCACTATGGTAAAGAAAACAAAACTGACAGAAGAAAACACTTCAAAAATATTAGAAAAATCAGAAAATAAAATGCAAAAGGACACTAGACATTAATGATGATGGTGAAATTTATCACACAAGTGGAATACCAGACGATGAGTCTTTATTTACTTACTTTTTAAAGATTTTATTTGTTGTTTTTTTAAGTAATCTCTAACCCAACATGGGGCTTAAACTCAAAACCCCGAGATCAAGAGTCGCATGCTCTACCAACTGAGCCAGCCAGGCAGCCCCAGATGATGAGTCTTTTTTTTTTTTTTTTTTTTAAAGATTTTTTTTATTTATTTATTTGACAGAGAGAGACACAGTGAGAGAGGGAACACAAGCAGGGGGAGTGGGAGAGGGAGAAGCAGGCTTTCCGCAGAGGAGAGAGCCTGATATGGGACTCGATCCCAGGACCCTGGGACCATGACCTGAGCCGAAGGCAGTTGCTTAACAACTGAGCCACCCAGGCGCCCCAGATGATGAGTCTTTAGATGATGATATCCTAAATTTTCTCAAACTCAAGAATTGCTAATTCAACAATATATATTTAAAGATAAAAAGGAAATATGGTATTCCTATCCATTCAACAGGAATGACTTCATTATTTAATATTTTGCAACAAGAACCCAAGCCATCCAAAAAAGATGTGAGGTATTTTGTCATCTTTTTTGATGTTTTGTGTCATATATGGTTGATATAGTTTACAAGTCAACAAATGCTAAAGGCAATGTCAATGCAAAGGTGACTGGAAGGAAATCATGATGTAGAGAGGAAAAATTCATTGAATGGCTAATTCTTTTTCCTCCAGTTTTATTGAGATATAACTGACATACATTGTGTAAGTTCAAGAAGTCTAATGTGTTTAAGTTACTAGTTCTAATCGTTGTTTATAAATCTAAATATGAAAATGTTTTACAACTAAGAAGATGGCTATCTTCTTTTCAACAAGATTCCAAGCCACCTACATTTTCAAAAGTATTTTTGTTGATTCAAGTACAAGAAGCAGCAAAAGTAAGAATACACTAGCACATTAGAGATGTATTTTTAATTTGGAGTCAATATTTATGAGATGATTTTGTTCCCTGTTCATATACATTGACTGATCAACAGTTGTATTTAAAGGATATGCCTTGGGGTACCTGGCCTCAGTCGGCAGAGCATACAACTCTTGATCTCAGGGTTGAGCCCCATGATGGGCATAGGGATTATTCAAAAAAAAAAGGGGGGGGGCATGGCCCATTTAGGGTAATATTTCTCTAACTGCAGGAAAATATAGGATAAAAATTTGAATTTGCTATGTTTAAATCCTTTTTTTAGAAGATTTTATTTATTTATTTATTTATTTATTTGACAGAGGAGAGTGAGAGAGCACAAGCAGGGGGAGTGGCAGGGAGAGGGAGAGGCAGGCTCCCGGCTGAGCAAGGAGCTGAATGTGAGGCTTGATCCCAGGACCCTGGGATCATGACCTGAGCTGAAGGCAGTTTACCGACTGAGCCACCCAGGTGCCCCACTATGTTTAAATTCTCATTAAAATTTATTTTAAAATTGTTTTACTATCCTTTATTCTTGCTTCTTATAAATGATTTGCAAAATGACTTAAAAAATATGAAAAAATAGGGTGTCTGGGTGGCTCAATTGGTTAAGCATCTGCCTTCAGCTCAGGTCATGATCCCAGGGACCTAGGATCGAGTCCCACGTCAGGTTCCCTACTCCACAAGGAGTCTCCTTCTCCCTCTGCCCCTCCCCCCACTGGTTCTCTCTCTCTCTCTCTCTCTCAAATAAATAAAATCCAAAAAATTTTTTTAAAAAATATGAAAAAATAAAGCAGGTCCATTGGTGATGATTGGTGTACTGAGGGTTAAACAAGCAGGGGTTTATTTGTTTCACATAACAAGCAACAGAGAACACAAAACTGGACCCTCTTATAGACTGCTTTTGGCTTCAGATAATAGAAATATTATCTCATCAAATGGGGAAGGTCAGCTTAGGGTAGACGTATTGTGGCTCAACAGTATTATCAAGACACAGCTTGCTTCCACCTCTCTGCTCTGCCATCTCCAGAACTAACTGGTTTCATGCCCAGGCTGCTAGTAAGATAGCTGTAGCATTACATGTAGACAAACAACATCCAAAGGAAGAAATGACAACAACCCACATCTCTCCTTATAGTTCTCTATTAACAGTGAGAAATCACTCCTCTGGCTCCTTTCCTTCTTGCCTCCTTGGCTAGAATGGCCTCACCAGCTCATTTCCGAACCAATACCTTGCTAAAGCAATGGAATTACCCTCAGATCATTCAACCAGTTTGGGGATAATGTCAGTTTACCCAAGGCACGCTGGCCTAGGGGAGGAATGGGCACCTGAACAAAACTGGAGTTCTGTTAGGAAGCAGGGGTAGTAGATATTAGGTAGGCTACAGAGTACAAGGCAGTCTAATCATACAAGTGAAACTCCTAAAGCAACTTCCAGAACATACATTCATTAACTGGAGAGAACTGTCACCAGGACTCAGAACAGAATAGGATAAGTAAGTTAGCCCTTTACAATTCCTCCTTTCCCATTTTAAGTGTTATTCTGTCATCTCCCAAGAATTCTGGCTATTGTTTTACTCCCTTCTCCTCTTACCAGCTGCATACAGGAGCAGCCAGCCGATAGATTTTCTAAGATGGAGTGAGTGAGATGAGGTGAATGAGATGTATGGAATCGGGAGCCAAGCCACACGACCGTGCTGGAGCCTGGGATGGGAGTATGACAACCTTCAGGAATGAGGTAGTGACCAATGGATGACAGGCAAAAGACAGGGTTTCTGAAGAGGCCTTGAACAGACAAGAAGAGAAATAATGAAACTGGGATAGGAAAGCTGTCTAGAGCTATCTCCCCACATTTTGCTGGTCAGGATTTTTACATGCTTTTAAAGTTAAGAGCGAGAGATGTGGCCAGAACCAGAATGAGGAAGAATGTGGTGTTGAGAGGAAGCAAAGGGAGAAAAGGGAGAGAAGGAAACCATTTTAGTTCCTTTTTTTCTCGCCTAACTGAAATCTATCCTTAATAGTTTGAGATGCACACACTCCCTTTAGAGTTGCCCAGTGAAGATCAAAATTGAGGGTAAGGTCTGGAGAGGCGGTTTTTGAATTGCCTCTTTTGGGTGATTCTGCACACTTGGACTGGGGCTGGAACTAAAATAGTCCTTGGAGGTGGAGGGACACAAGGGACACCATACCTAATTCCTCTTCGGTGTGCACTTAGAAAAAGCTGTAGGCATAAGAGAATGCACTTGAGTTTGGAGAATAAAGGACAATTTCTGAGCAAGGATTGGGGAAGGGAGGGTGGTAAAGTGCCAGCCGTAACATGACCTGGGACCATGTCTTAATAAAGTCACAAGAGATGAGGTCAATACCTGTTACATAGGATACTGATCAATACCGGCAGTTCCATGAGGTAGATGCTCCCAGTAAACAGAGAGAGATACCAAAGTTGCAAATCAGGGTTCTGTGTACACTGCATTGTGCAAAACAAGGATTGCTTACTGGCATGAACACTTAATCCACCATTTTAACAGCAGAAATCTGAAAGGAAAAAATGACTGAGTTTCAATTTCTACCACCTTTCCCTTACCTTTGTGAAATTTCAGCACATCATCATTCACAGCTAGTTTCCTACCAAAGCCAGAAAGAAGCATTTTTTGATTACTTATGTTCATGGAAATACATTTGCCTTTTTGAGTTACCAAAAGTCCTCCTTTGAACAAGTCTAAGAGAATCCAGGTGAGTCACTGTTCACTGCTCATGAAGGGGAAACTAGGAGAGGCAGGGTTGGAATCTTCCTTTTCTCTCTATTACTCCTCACCAGAAAAACTGAAGAGCTAACGCTGTAAGGCAGATTAAGAAGCTCCTTTGAGTCTGGCACGTTCCTTCACCCCCACAGGCTGTTGGGAGAGTTCTACACCAGAGGCTAAAGTTCTCATGGAGGCTGGGGGGGACTGGGTAGGAAAGCCGACTCAAATACCTTAACTCCTCCCTTCCCCAAATCAAATAATATCTATCTGCTGTTGACATCAGATTATTATGTGCCTTGATTGTTAAATATGTATTAGGAAAGCATTCTCTTGCTATGAAATAGCTTCTCTTGATTTTCTAAATCTATGTGAATTCCATGTGTTTTTTAATTTCACAAGCAACTTTTTATATAACTATGGTATAGTGACCCAAGATGCTAAAGAGCAAATAATTCGACGAGACAGCTTAAATTAAAAACAAAAAACGGAGAGATCTAATCTGGAGATGTTAGAAACAAGCCAATACCTTGGGTGTCGTGAGATTCGAACCAGTCCTGTGAAACGGCGACCTCCTGTATTAAACCCTTTCCCCACCACGGGCTTTGCATGCACGAGCACTTGCACCTGCACAAAGCGAGGACCCAAGTTCAGGGGCTTTGTCTCAAAAGAACAAAGATCGGCCCAGCTGCGCCCTCGCTTTCGAAAGGACGCAGCCACCTCCCGCACAACTGGCCGCTCGCCGAGCCGCGCCCCTCCGGCAGCCCACCCCGCCGCGCGGCGCCCGCCCCCGCCTCTCGGGCCCCTTTCAGCGCCGCGCCCGCCCCGCCTCCGCTCTCCGCGCGCCGGCAGCGCAGGGCCGCCCGATCCAGGCCTCGCCCCCCGCCGGGGTTACGTGCGCCCGGGGCGGGCGGCCGCCGGGCCAATGACCGCCGCTCGGGCGGCCGCGCTCCTCCCGCGCCGCCGCCGCCGCCGCCGCCGCCGCGGGGCTGCGGGCTCCTCCCGCAGGAGGTACTGTCAGCGCGCGAGGCGGCGGCGGCGGGCCGGCTCAGTCATATGACCGGCCTCCGGCGGCCCCGACGCCGAGCAGAGTTACTCAGCCGCAGCGGCCCCTCGCTCCCACGAGGCTGGGCGGCCGCGCCGCCGCCGCCGCCGCCGCCATGGCCCCGCCGCCGCCGCGGCCGCCGCCCCCGGCTGCGCGCTGAGCTGCCGGCGCCCCGAGCGCCACGGCCGGAGCTGCAGCGGCGGCGGCAGCATCATGGCCCCGACCCTGCTCCAGAAGCTCTTTAACAAAAAGGGCAGCGGCAGCGGCAGCGGCGGCAGCTCCGCGGCGGCGTCCGCCCCGGGCAGGGCTTCCAAGGAAGGACCCGCGTTTAGGTGAGGGGGCGCCGGCAGGCGAGGCTGGAGCGGGACCGGGGTCGGCTTCGGTGCCGGCCGGGGGACGGAGGGAGAAGGGAGTGGGCCGCTCGGGACGTCGCAGCCGATCGCCGGCACCGGGTCCCGGGCTCGTCACCGTGGACGCGCCGGATCCGAGTGTGGCTCCGAAACCTCTCTGGCCGGGAGGGACCTCTGCTCCCTCCCTCCCTCTTTGCCCCACTGCTCAGGGTCCCTTCCTCCCTCCCTCCGTCCTTTCCCCACTGCTCAGGGTCCCTTCCTCCTTGCAGAGTTCTCTTGTGTTCCTTGGATTCTCAGGCGTGCGCTTGCTTGGCTGTGGACGTGGGAGATTCGCCGTGGGTTGGGGCGAACCCCTTCCCGGCAGAGCCTCCTGGGCGCCTCTGCGGGCGCTGCAAAGCGGTGAGCTGTCATTTTGAGGGCAGCTCCAACCTATTGTGTACGTGACAGTATTTAGAAGTTAGGAAGGAGCAACAGTCACGAAGCAGCATCTTCCTTCTTCCTTGCCGTATATGACAGGCCCTCAGACGGATGAATGAAAGTATGTAATTGCCACATCATTTGGAAGGTTGACCGCCTGGTGTATGGAAAAGGGGAGTGAGATGCTTTTATCAAATGGTTGAGTTTTTAATTTAACAACGCTCATGCATCTATTTAATAGATCCGACCTTGTGAACACACACCTTTGAATAATAATTGCTGGTACCTATTGAGCGTGTACCAACTTAAATGGTTTATGTTGATTTCTTTCATTTATTTCTTTAACAACCCTGTGAGGTAGGGTGCTGTTACAACTCCCATTTTACAGATGAGGAAACTTAGTCACAGAGAACTTAAACAGCGTGCCCAAGATCCACCGCAGTAAGTGGTAGAGCCTGCGTTTTGACCCAAGCAGTTTGACCACAGAATCCAGTCTTTAAAATCTCAATGTTACTCTGCTTTCAAGAGCTAACTTTTATTTTTTTATTTTTATTTTTTTTATAATTTTTTTTAAAATTTTTTATTTATTTGCGAGAGAGAGAATGAGAGACAGAGAGCCTGAGAGGGAGGAGGGTCAGAGGGAGAAGCAGACTCCCTGCCGAGCAGGGAGCCCGATGCGGGACTCGATGGGGGACTCGATCCCGGGACTCGATCCCGGGACTCCAGGATCATGACCTGAGCCGAAGGCAGTCGCTTAACCAACTGAGCCACCCAGGCACCCATCAAGAGCTAACTTTTAGAAGGTGACTTAGAATGTCCTATGTTGCCTTTCAGCACACATATGTTGAGAAGTTTTATTTATGTACTTTTAACAGTTTTATTCAGCATGTTTTTAAATTGAGTATCTACTTCCAACTGTGACACGGTGCTACACGTTTTTTGGCCAGAATGTCTTGCAAAAATAGTTTATTATTGAACAAGTCCAGAACCAGTATAATAAACCTTTTAAAAGTTTGAAGTGAAACTTTGAATAAATTTTGGATTAAGTTTTATAGTCTAGATTTTGCTTTTCTTGAATTCCATTCGTTTAAAACATAGTTCCTCACTGCTTATGTGAATATTAAATATCAGTATTTTGTGTTTGTGAGGTGTGTGTGGGTGTGTATGGGTGCGGTGTTGTTTGGAAGGTAAATTGTGAGGACTTTAAACTACCCTAGTTAAAGTCTCAGGTTTCCTTTAGACTAACTGGATCCTTATAATTTGATTAGGGAATCCTATTCCTTTCACTGCTTTGAGTACTAGTGATGTTGCATCCCTTCTCAGAATGGTAGAATTACTTCAGGCCCAGGGTGTGGAATTTCTTCTCTTCCCTCCCAGTAAACCAGACTTGATCAAGGGAACAAAGCCTGGAGAAAAAAGGGCATGTGTGTGACTGGTGTCTTTACTTTGGCAGCCCTTGTCAAGGACATTTAAAGCCATTTTAATGCTGGTGGAGATAGTGGAGTTAACTGTCATTGTTTCCTGTGCTCTCTGCCCAGTTGCCCACCACCATTTCCTCCATCCACAAGTTTAATTGAGTGTATTTTGAACAACAACAAAAAAAAATGTGGCTATATTTAGGGCTTGGCCATATTAGGGCAATTGATTCCCACTTTGTGGGAACATTTTCAGTATAATGTCCTGACATCCCATTGGTGTATAATGAAGAACACGAAAGTATGCCAAGGACTGTTTGTTTTTTTTTTTTTCTTTCTTGACCTCGTTAGGATTTTCTTCAAGTTTTTTGAGGTGGATTTTTGAGGTAGATTGGGAGAATTGGAGCTGTCAGTTGAACATTTCACTTACTGAGGCCCTTTAGCAGTGGCCCTGTTAGGGGTCACCATGGAGAAAGAAGTGAACTAGCACATGTCTGTGAAGACGTAGGAAGGTGGGGACAAGTCAGCCAGTGCACACCAGATCAACGAAGGGTACCCAAGCAAGTCTTTCCTCCTGCTCTCTCCACCTAGTCTAACTCAGATGCAGTGTAGCTCTCCTGGGAAAAGTCTCCCAGAAAATTTCCTTTTCTTGCCCTTGTGCTTCATTTCATCCAGGTTTTACCAGACAGATGCTGGCATGTGCTTTTTGGGGAAGTGGGTGCCTTATACAGGGGGATTAGCTGCCCTTAGGAACCCACTTCATAGTTGAATAGATTTTGAGAAGTTAAAGTAAAACCCTTAGGTTAAAAATCTAGTGTTCCTAACGTGAATTTATATTTTTCAAAAAGTGCATTTAAATATAGCACATAACTTGTGGATTTGGGGAATGAAAGTCTCCTGAGGAATCAGACTTTTTGAGCAGTTTTGTAGCATATATTAACATATATTTTGGAGAAACCTAAGTAAAAATAAGATCCAACTTTCTATATATTTTATAAATATATAATATATGGACATACATGTATACCCACAGACATATATATATTTGTTTGTTTTAGAGTTTGTGAAAGCCTTTTTATATCTCTTCTCTTCCTGTGATGGACTTTCACTAGTTATTTTAAACTTTTCTCCAGTTCTCTGAAGTTTAGCCTTTGGTCAAGTTTTGCCCTCTATGTTACTCTTGTTTACTCTTGGGCACTTCCCTCGTTTCTTACTGTTCCCTCTCACTCCTCCGGTTTTCACATACTATAGTTGATTGGAGAGGACATTTTTTTGTTCAATATAAGTAGCTTATCTCATAGGTCATTTTCAGATCTTCAGGCTTTCTGATGTTCCATCTAAAAAGAGAACATCACAGTCAAGATTCCTTCTTTAGTGTATTTTGTTTGGGATCTCAACAAAAGCCCTTTCATTGCTTTGAGGAAAGACTTCTAGGAAAACAAAAGAAATCAAAAGAGATTGATTTTACATGTTTGGGAGTAGTTAGGCACAATATATGATTATGGTGTTTGTGAAGAGTAAACTCTGAAGTTATAAAATTCTATCATGGTTTTGAAATTTGAGAGTAATCTCTCTTTGCTGGTCTTCAGAATACTTTCACTTTTAATTAGCTGATACATAAATATATATATGAACAACACTTTGTTCTAGAAGGATAAAGTAGAACAAAAAGAGGTGATTTGTCTAGTGGCTCAAGTCAGAAGTAAAATTGGGTTCCTGATTACCTTGGATTTGAGGTCAGCATGTTCACATAGGAATTTTTAAAAAGCCGGGGTATGCCCATTGACTTGCATGTCTGGTTCAAGTCTGAGGTTTTATCTTATGGTGGGTTTTTTGGTTTTTTGGGTTTTTTTGATGTCTCTGTTAAATTAGTGGACCAGTCTTCATTTAAAATATATATGCGACAGGGAGGTGAAAGGATCATAGGTAATCAAATATTTTATTTTGGATCAGTTAGATGAAGTGAGTAAGCTTATATACCACCTGGGACATGAGGAGTAAGTAGAAGCATTTCAGCTGCTTGGTAGCTAGCTGCATAAAGGCTAGAAGTAGATTCCATTCCTTTTCCCCTCCCTCCAGTCCTGAATATCTAAGGCCGAATGGCCTAGTTAGTACTAATCCATCTTGTTCTGTTAGAGCAAATTTAAGTACTCTGTTACAGGGTTAGTGTAAGTATAACTTAATCTACTTATCATCGATATCAAATAGCATCTGATGCCCATGTGCTTGTGGCTTTGTGCTCCACCTGTACAAATCAAGGTAGGACACATGGTCCTGCATTGGAGTTTGCAATCTAAAGGATAACAGATTATTTACCAAGATGAATAAACAGCGAAGTGCACATTGGAAACTATAACAAGAAGATAATTGAAACAATGATAAAGAGTAAATCTTTACATTAAGTACAGCATTAAGAACTCACTGTTCTTATGCTTCCTGTGACTGAGGGTAGGAGTATGAATTAGTCCCTTGGACAGAGGGAAATTACACAGAAGGGCTTTCTCCCCTCCCACTGCCAGCTCCCAGGACATACCCATTTCTAATGAG